AGTCTCTTTTACTGGAACCAGGATCTGAGGAGTTGTTCTGGAGGTGAGAACGGGTTGGCAGGGTGTTTGTGGCTGAGTAGTTCTCAGCTGTAACGGATGCATTCATTTCCACCAGAGCATCACTGACACCTCTTGTATCACTTTCAGACTGCACAGACAACAGCTTAAAAGCATCTTGTGCTCCGCTTCCTTCAGTGCAGACAGTAGAGTCCTGGAGGAGACTGTGCCTTCCTTGTGGACGTGAAGGGCCAGCAACAGTTGGGGCCATAAACTGAGAGAGGGTGCGTCTACTTATAGCAGATTTTCTTCCATTTAGAAGATGCAAGAGCCTGTGTGATGAGGTTGAAGGAGTTGCGCGAAATAATCTTCTTCTTCTTATATGTTCAGTTAACTTCATTTTGCTGGGTTCATACTTGTCACAATCAGAGTCAGTGGAGTCTGTATCGGTCGTGCTATCGCAGCTTTCTTCTGGATACAGAAGGCCCACATCAAAAGTGGTGATGGACCAAGAACTGGTGGGCGTGTTGAACAAAGAAGGATGGTTAAAAAAGCGGAGACTGCTACGGGAAGTCACAGCAGAAGGATGTTCTGATGTTGCTGGTTTCTCCTCCATGTCACTTTTGGTTTTGCTGCAGCTGACAGTGCTCAAGCTGCCGTACAGAGAGAGATCTGGTGGTGCAGGTGATTGTTGACTGACGTGATTACGTACGGAATGGGCTGAGCTCATGTGCTTGGTTTGTTGTGTTAGAGAAGAGCGAAGAGAAGAAAGCAGAAAGTACTGACGTGTGCTAGATTCACTAAAGCGACGCGCGTCATCTAAATAAGAGACTCTGTTTTGAGGCAGCTGACCCTGAACACCATCCTTCAATAACTTCCCATCAGCAGTCGTCTGTTTTTCTGAAATGGAAGTTTGACTTATATGTTTGTATAATGAGTCACTTCTATCTTCATTTAACTCCTCCTTCTCTGCCCGTGAGTCACCTGTCTTCTCACAACTGTCTGTGCCACACACAGCGGAGGAGGGACACAGGGTTTTTTCCTCTTTTGGTTCCATCTTTTCTTTTTTCAACTTGATCCCAAATAGAAGCTTTTAAAACTCATTCTGCATGTTTCCTGCTCTGATTTTCATCTTGTCCCGGACCCTAAAATAAAGAAATGACATTAAAACATACTGGGATGACTGTACCTTACATTGTGTTTTGACCTTTACAGTGTGTAGGATTGAGTGACATCTAGCAGCCATGATGAAGGCCCCGGATCTTAGAATAAAAGATGTGGGCTCCAGAATAATGTTTTTAATTATAACTGTATTTCACTCACTGTGAGAGAGGTCTATCAAAAGATATATGTTCACTCATTTGTTCTTCTTTGCCAGTTTTGCTCATGTCTCCGTTAACACTGTTAAACTGTTCAGTCTGTAGGTTTGTAATCACGAACAGTAATTAGTTAACAGGTCTTTTCAAGTTACAAGAGAAAATGTGCTTGAAGAGACAACAGCATTAAATGGACTTGTTACCACATGCACATCCACACACGCAGTCATTATTTCAGTATCATATAAATAAGCAGAACTTCTTACCCGTGTTATGGATGGAATAACACATCAGCTGCAGACAATCTCTTCAACCTTGAAACTTTTTATATCCTGAAATCAGAATAAATGTTGAGCTCTTCTCTATCGGTTCTCTGTCACCTTCTAATTTCCACTCTGGGTGATGAGTGTCGCCTCCACACCTTCTAACCAATTACACATTGTATTACAGCAGGCATTTCTGCCTGTGGGATGACTGTATGTTTCAGGGAGGTGAGAAATCAAGTCTGTGCTCATTCAGTTACAAGAACATGACTTCAAGGTTCTGTTTCACAAGTCTAATTCAATGTCAAACATTAATGGAAATGTATATATCATTATAAAGCACAAGGTTTTATAACAAAATGAGGGTTTGCAGCTCCTTCATGCTACACACAGAAAATTAAATGCATAGAATGACATATAAAATAAATCAAAATGAACCAATATATACAGTTATTTATATACATATACACATGTGTACCTCCGTGCACCGTCTCTGGCTATAGCACAGGTTACTGAATCTATCAACCTTACTGTGACCATAACACTTTATGTCCAGCTGTCGTTCATCTACAATTTGTTTCAGCATCTAATTACCCCAAAAACCACAAATTGTTTCCACAGTTCTGCTTCTGTAAAGGTTAAACATGTTTTACTTCCTTTTTTTTATTATTAGACTTGCTGTTCCCCCTGCTTTAGGTTTTTAATGTTATCCTGACTTCAGCTGCGCACTCAGTACACACACGACACTGATATCCATCTTTAAGAAAGAAAGCAAAGAAGCGTTGTTTGCAAAAGGTTGAACTATTGCTTTAAAAAATGTAATTAATGTCACCGTATACTGGAGATTTGATGTACAAGATCCAGAAGTGCTTCATTCTTGTATGCTGCACTGCTTTAATCCTTTGCAGTGCATTTTATTTAATAATTGAATTGGAAAGTTCTGTTTTTATAGTAAAATCCTCATGTGGAAGTAAGCATGTAAATGTAGAGAAGTAAAAAGTACAATAGGAGCAGAAGTATGAATTAGCATGAAATGAAAATGTACTTAGTGACTCTCCACCACTGATATGTAGCCTACAACATACTGTGAGTAGAAAATAATGGTGGAGATGTTCTGGTGTATTATTTGTTAAAAAGATACGACTGGGATTAAAATGTTTTTTATTTAAATAAATCTGTTGTTTGGTTGCTGTTGCTTCAGAGCTGTATGGCAGAGATTGGTTGAAAGTCACTAAAGATGTACAACATCCCACTGGGCTTTTTTTTTTTTTTTTTAAATCATTTAAAGATTTGACTAATGAGTCGCACAGCCAGCTCCAGAACAGCTACTGAATGGATCTTGCAGAAATAAACCATCAAAGGTGTGAAAAAATCAAACAGAAATCAGTGATTGGTAAGAATCAGGGGACAAACATCATACAAAAATACAAAAGACTGCAGTCGGGATGATTTAAAAGGTATTTTTAAGTTCAACATTATATCTACAGTTGATTGATTTAAATGGGAAAAATGGACTAGATCAAGAACAGTGACTGATGCAGGGAAAAGTATTTTATGTGAGTTACAGGA